AATTCCCAAGTAGATTTCTGCAGCTCTTTCTTTCCCCTCTTTTCAGCACCCTCCTCTTTGGAGCCTTTACCTACAAGTTCCAGGTGCCTCAGCCATCCAGAGTGCTGATCTGTCTTGTCAACTCTGCCAGTCATATTACATTAGGGCCCACCCTAATGACCTAATTTTAGCTTGATACCTCTGTAAAGACCCCGTCTCCAAATAAGGTTACCTTCTGAGGTATTGAGGATTTAGGACTTCAAGACAGGATATTTTGGGGGGGGGTGGGGGGGAACAGTTCAATCCGTAACAGGGAAACTCAGATTCAAGTCTCAGTCCCTCTTCCCTGGATGGGAAGCCTCTGCCATTGCACAGCAGCCGCCTCAGCCTTGCAAGAAACCAACCAGGAGGTGTTTGTAAACACAGAATCAGCACCGGGCCTGGGATCTCAACACACCTTCCTAGAGGAGTTCAGTTTTACCTTCTTCATATTTGAGAAATGAGCACAAACACCTTTCCACAAGGTTACAGGATGTTGCAGGGTTTTGTTGCTGGAGTTGATACTGGTGGGCTGGCTGAAAAGGCTGATGGCCATTTCATAGAAAGAAACATCTTTCTATAGTCAGAGCTAGAAGAGCCCTCAGGGCCCATCGGTGTGCAGTGGGAGAAGCGATTTGCCCAGGGCAAACTGACAGTGTTTTGCTGTGGAATCCCACAATCCTGCCCTTGTGAAATATGAACATCTCCCCAGTTGGAAGAGCCAGCAGCCCCTGGGTCCCGCCGTGCTCAATGCCTGGCACATAGTGAATGCAGCATGAACATGCCCTATCCAGAGAAATCTCTTCTTTGCGTTTTTAAATGTGTTTATCCCTCAAAAGAGCATCCCCTAGACACTATAATACAATGGAATGTCACTCAGCCATAAAAAAGAGTGAAACAATGCCACCTGCAGCAACAGGGATGGACCTAGAGATGATCATACTGGGTGAAGTCAGACAGAGAAAGACAAATACTGTATGATATCACTTACATGTGGAATCTAAAAGAGCGATACAGATGAACTTATTTACAAAACAGATACAGACTCACAGACATAGAAGAGAAACTTATAGTTACCAAAGGGGGTGGGGAAGGGATAAATTAGGAGTTTGAGATTAGCAGATACACACTATTATATATAAAATAACCAACAAGGACCTACCATATAGCACAGGGAACTATATTCAGTATCTATCTCATAATAACCTATAATGGAAAAGAATCTGAAAAAGAATATATGTATAACTGAGTTGCTGTGCTGGACACCTGAAACTAACAAACACAACACTGGAAATCAACTATTCTTCAATAAAAAATAATCCCACAGAAAATTTCTCATACATCTTTTAAGACTCATTTACTCCATAGATCACCTCTGTCCTTTCTTTTTCTTGTCATTTATCTGTTGAAGAACCTGGGCCTTTGATCACAGAGTTTCCCACTGTCTGGCTTTGCGGGTGGAACTTTCACGTCTGCTGGTTCCTCTTCATAAGTTAGCAACTGTTGAGGCTGAACACCTCTACCTATGATTTCACTGTGGACAGCAGAATGGTGAGATTCTAATTCTATCACTGGTTTTCCTTTGTTAAGCAGAATACATTTATGAAAAGATAATGAGGTGGTGCCATCACAGCCTCTGAGGATGACAAATTCTTTTTTCTCTTTTAATATCATGATGAACTCCCAGATTTAAACATATCTGATGGATTTCAAGCCACCGTAATGATTATATTTATTAAAGCTCGAATTGTTCCATCTTCGACCAGTGGGAGTATCTTCAGGTTGGCTCCTGAGTCCTTTTGATAACTTCCTGGTGGAACAGTGTCACTACGAAGAGCTTCACTTTCGTGCTGGCTGCTGGCTTTCAAGGGTCTTTGTCACATGTCTCTCACTTCCAGAAGCCCAGAAGCCTGGTTTCACCTACTTAGCAAAGAGCTCCAAGAACACGTTATTTCTGCTTTTCTTTTTTTAACATCTTTATTGGGGTATAATTGCTTTACAATGGTGTGTTAGTTTCTGCTCTATAACAAAGTGAATCAGTTATACATATACACATGTTCCCACATCTCTTCCCTCTAGCGTCTCCCTCCCTCCCACCCTCCCTATCCCACCCCTCCAGGCGGTCACAAAGCACCGAGCAGATCTCCCTGTGCCATGCGGCTGCTTCCCACTAGCTATCTACCTTACGTTTGGTAGTGTATATATGTCCATGCGTCTCTCTCGCTTTGTCACAGCTCACCCTTCCCCCTCCCCATATCCTCAAGTCCATTCTCTAGTAGGTCTGTGTCTTTATTCCTGTCTTACCCCTAGGTTCTTCATGACATTTTTTTTCTTAAATTCCATATATATGTGTTAGCATACTGTATTTGTCTCTCTCTTTGTGACTTACTTCACTCTGTATGACAGACTCTAGGTCTATCCACCTCATTACAAATAGCTCAATTTCCTTTCTTTTTATGGCTGAGTAATAGTCCATTGTATGTATGGGCCACATCTTCTTTATCCATTCATCCGTTGATGGACACTTAGGTTGTTTCCATCTCCGGGCTATTGTAAATAGAGCTGCAATGAGCATTGTGGTACATGACTCTTTTTGAGTTATGGTTTTCTCAGGGTATATGCCCAGTAGTGGGATTGCTGGGTCATATGGTAGTTCTATTTGTAGTTTTTTAAGGAACCTCCAAAACCTGAGGGAGGGCATGCTGGCAAGTTTCGCATGCAGACTGTGCTGGATGCTGCTGCTTCCTTGGCCCTTCTTCAATGTCAGCTTGGCTGCCACGTCGTCCCAGAGGATGTCTCTTGTGTACGCCCGTAGCATTTTGGCTCTCCCTTACTGTAGTACTGATCTCGCTGACTGCAGTTGTCTGTTTATCCATATGCCCACTTCCCCTGCTGCCCACGAGACTGAGTGGCAGGGCCCGTGGCTTGTTGACCAGTGGCTAGCATATTAGGGTGCCAACAGATAATTGCTGAATGAATGTCTGTGTCATTCTTCTCCTACCAGAGCGCTCCTTACCCAGGGTTGAAATCTACCCATTTCATATTTCCACGCCTCTCGGCATCCCAGCTACATGGTGAGCTCTTTCAGGGACCAGTTCTAACGCCCTTCCCCATCTCCACCATCTGGCAGGATGCATTGTGGACCCCTCCCCCCCTGCCCACCTACACTGTTATTAAAGGATGAGAAATGTGTTTCTATAAAACTAAGAGCAGTTAACTTGAAACTTGTTTCAGCACCAATTTGACTTCCTCCTTTGGAATCATTTCTGGGAAAGTACAACAAAGTTCCTCTTCACGTTTCCCTACCAAAGTGGCCTTTGGAAAGTTTGGGGTACCCCGGGCACCCCAGGGCGTTCTCTCATCCTGACGGTGATGCAGGAGCTCCTTCCACCCCATCCAGTACCATGTTTCTGTGACAGGAATTTATTGAGTGATTAATGCTTCTCGTCCATCACTCCCAGGAGCCTACAAACATGCTGTTATTTCTCTTGTCTTAAAAACAAGGACTTAATTACACTGCTTTGTCCCTCTTCCAAGTGGCCAGATCTCTCCTGAGAGCTTTACACCATCAGTGAAGGCACGGTTTCCTCCTCTCTGTCCCAACCCCATGTGGGGTGACTGCCACCCTTCTGATGCTGCCTCTTGCCGTGGCCTCAGAGCAGCTTTCAATTCTGAGCCATGATTGCAGGTCGGGTGTGAGAGCCCCCTCTCCCTCTTCATGACCACATCAGATGCTCTGCTGCCTCAGATCTCCCAGCCCCTGGGCAGGAAGGGAGCTGAGAACACTGCACACGGTGCCCTTTCCCTTTTCTCCCGGCCTCTGGACGAAAGCCGGTGGGCATATAAACATGTCAGGCACACCTGAAGCTGCAGTGGCATGCAGAGCATCATTCTCTTTTCTTTTTTGGTCATGGTAAGCTTTGCCAGACCATCTGACCTCAAGGCTCGGCTCCCCCATATTCCTGTAGCACCAAAGGCAGTTCCCTCCTATTGTTACGGTGCTTCTCCGCAGGGAATAGAGGATCCTTTAGGCCAGACAGTGCCTGCCCCACGCCCCGGCCCCCAGCCCTTATGACGGGCTGACCTAGCGGGGGTGGATGCAGAAGTATCTTCCATCTTTAAAAAAAATCCCTGGACCCCAGAGCTCTCCCCCTTTACAATCAGACATCTCTAAAGAATTGCCCACAGTCCCCTCTCTCTATTTTTTTTACTTCATATTTAGTGAACCTTCCACCCTCACTTGAGTTCAAATCTATTCGTACAGCTTCTTAGCTGTGTGACCCTGCGCTCATGAATTTCTCTGAACCTCAATGTTTTCATACATAAAATGGACATAAAAATAGTTACCTGTCCCATGGGACAGTTTTGGAGATGAAATAGGTTATGGTAAAGCCCTTAGAAAACACATAGGAAACAGAACCAGCACGTCACTTAATTCTCTGAGAATTGTACTTGTATTTTAATCTTCATTTTGGGGATTTTACAGAAGGACGATCGCGTCAACTTCAGCTAATGGTAACCCTCTTTCCTCTCCAGTGTACACTATTCTTCTTTTCTTGTTGAGCAGTTCTCTACAAGTCAAATGACCACGTTAGACGGCACTGATTTGAGTGTATGACACTGGCTTTTGGCTTGAGGTAGACAGTGATAAGAAAGCTTCCTTCTTGTCCTGCATTATTGTTTTTTATAAAAAAGCATGGGCACACATAAATTTGTACTGCACACCTTTGCTGCATCACTTGTGATGACTGCATAGCTCTCATCGACCTGGGGGTGTGAGTCCCAACACTATGCTCCCCAGTGATGACCGATCATTAAAATCACTGGTGAAAGGTGACTTGAAGAGGCTGCGTGGGTCCTTTCAGACAACGCCGCCAGCTGGGCCTCGTGCCTCACTGTTACGGTGGGCAGTGTCCTCGTCGTCTGCTGTCCTCATCCGGCCGGCGGAGTCTGAGAAGCCATGTCCTCTTGCCTCCCCGCAGGCCTGGCGCAGGCGCTGGTTCGTGCTGCGGCAGGGCCGCCTAAGTGGCGACCGCGACGTCCTGGAGTACTACCGCAGCCAACGCGCTCGCAAGCCCATCCGCACCATCGACCTCAGCGAGTGCGCCGTCTGGAAGCACGCGGGCCCGGGCTTCGTTCGTAAGGAATTCCAGAACCATTTCGTGTTCATTGTCAAGACTGCAGCTCGCACGTTCTATCTGGTGGCCAAGACGGAGGAAGAAATGCAGGTGTGGGTGCACAGCATCAGTCAGGTCTGCAACCTCGGCCACCTGGATGACAGCGCAGGTAAGAGCGGACAGGGGGATCCTGAGGCTAAGGGCGGGCGGGGGCCACTGCGCTTGTGCCAGGGAGCTCCGGAAAGGACCCGGCGGCCGAGCCATGAGCCACGTGCACTGCCCCCGGAGCGTGACGGGCCGCTTTGGTGGCTTCAAAGCCTCACCTTGGCTTTGCTCTCGTGAGCTACAGGGAGCACATGCAGTGAAAGCAAAACGTGGGTGGGGACGTCCTGTACAGCTCTGATTTTCCCCATGCTGCTGCTGCCAGTTTTTCTAGAAATATCAAATATTGCTGTCTTTAAAAAATTCTAGGAACTCCAGCTTTTCTGTTGCCTACCAGGTTGTTCAGTACTAGAAGGTAGAAAGACAGAACTAAGCTACTTGTCGTAGGCAGGTAACGTTTCCTCTTATCTCCAAGTGGCTCAAGGTCTGTGCAACGGAAATGAGCTCTAAGTTTGCTGTGAGCCATTTCTGGGCAGTGGAAGCAAATGACCCATGAGGCTCTTTTTCTCTCACTCTTGCTCTCTCTCTTTTACACACACACACACACACACACACTGCCCTTTCTATATAATGTACCGGGTATAAAGCACTTGGGGTTACAGTGAACTCTCCTTCATGGATTTTGTTCTTGAGGCCCTGGCACCGTGCTCTGATCTTCAAACTATGAGACTTCGAGTCTGCTTTCTGTTAGTCTCTTAGTCTATAGCCGGCAGAACCTTTCCCCTAAATCCCATGGTCCACAGTTGCTGCAGCATTTCCGTCCTTACTGGTGCTTATCATCTTCCACTGAAATACCCACATTTTAACGCTAGGTGGCGCAGAAGAGTCAGAGTTGCATCTCTCTGTAGACAGACGTGAGGGTGTGTGTGCTTCCTGCCAGCAAAGTCCGTTTCTTTTCATGACCCAGGGAAGCTTACTAAGTGAAGCTACTCAGTCACACCGCTGCTCACTCTTCACCCCAGTCCATACATTCTGCCCACACCAGATACATATTTTTGTGTCATGTTATGTGTCTCCTCTGTTTGTTTCCTCATCTGGGAGTTATGCTAAAATATAGATAGATACATAACATGTGTCCCAATATCCTAAGGGGAACAGAAACAAGTAAGGCACCAGGCAGAAAACAGAAAGCTCTGGCCTGAAGTTGGAGGAAGCCGGAACCCCCCATGACCTCTTTTGTTCCCTGTAGCCCCACTCAGTTTTGACGAGGATGTAGGGGCTAACTGCTCATCTGAGAACCAAGCCTGTATTAGCTCGTCTCATCCCCAGACCGATTCTGTGGCATATGTACCATGAACATAAGCACTTTACAGATAAGGAAGCTTGGAGCAAGCAGGTAACTTGACCAAGGTCAGGACAGCTATATACTAGAGCCTGGACTTGAACCCAGGCAGTTCTGGACCACTCTGACTCAGGAATCCTGAATTCCTGCCAACTTGGTTCAAAAGGGAGATAGAAGCAGGCCTTTCATTGGGAGTTTATGAATGTGGGCTTTCCAGCCATCACAGCTCTTTCTTTCTTTCATTCCTTTTCTTAGACATCACTAACAGTCAATCATTAACGCTGTGAGGGCAGAGTTAGAACGGTCCCAGGCACATAGTAGGTGCAAGAGTAGGTATCTATATAGACATAAATAGACATATATCTACATAGCATGTCTGCATATGTGCACAAATGCTTATGTAAGTCTATGTACATATATTTGTTATGCATAAATGTGTGTGTGTGTGTATATATATATATAAAATGTAAGTATATTTGTTGAGTGAATAAATAGTGATGCAGAGCTGTGGCCGAGGGCCATGAAGAGGCTGTGTGAAGACTATCTAACTGCAGATTTTTAGGCCAAGAGTCCTTGGGTTTTTTGCTCTTAATTGATTCAGCACTTCACTCTTGGAACATTGGCCTTCATCCCCAGACATTGTTTATAGCTTGGGGAAAAGGTCTCTATCAGTACAAACACCAGCTGTGATTTGCATCTTCTCTTTGGCCTCTTAGATGCCATTTGAGAAACTGTGTTCTAGCCATTCTTAAACATTCAGCTGGGAAATGATTTCTCCTGCAGATTGTGTGGAGAGTGGCTCTCACGCGCCTTGCTGCGTGCAGCCCTCTGCCTCCAGCTCCCTTTGCACCGCCCCTGCTGTCAGCTCCCTGCCAAGAGATGACCCAAGCACTAGTACTGTAGCCACTGAGGAAACCGGAAGTGAGTCAGAGCTTCTCTTCCTTCCTGATTATCTGATTCTATCCAACTGCGAGACGGGAAGACTGCACCACGCCAGGTACGCCTCCAGCCGTTTAGCTGTAGCATCTTCTAGTGGGTGTATGTGCACTCCCCTCTCTTCCTGCTGCCGTCAGGGCAGGGACAGATCCCTATCAACCACTACCGAGGCCGAAGCTTGTGGCACACCAAGCAGAATGACTCATGCATTTCAGCACTGTGGCTTTCCTTTCCAACCTTGCATTTTCATACGTATCTTAACACTTAGAGGATGAAAAGAATCAACGAGCCATTTTTTTCCCCTGCATCAAGGGGTTGGTGCCACCAAGTGCTGTAGAGGCAACATTAGAGGCATGGGTGGGTGGGTGCCAAGGGTGTAGCAGTACCAACTACCGCTGCCGGGGACCTGCTGCCTCTCAGTCAAATGTATGTGCTTTTCTTCCCTCAGTGTCCCCACCAGATGTGACAGCTGGTCAAACTCGGAGCGCTCACTGGAACAGGTGTCCTTCGACGATGTTTTTGTGGACGGCCCGCAGACACTGCCCTCCGGGAACCTGGCCTGCCCCTCACGCCCTGGGAACAGTCCTCAAGAGGCCCCTTCCACAAGGCCCCCGGCTGCCCTGATCTGCACGAGACATGTCAATGGACCGTCCAGGGACCACTTTTCTTTACCAGTGCTGGAAACGTCCTTAAACTCCACCGTCCAGGTAGATCAAAACCAAGCTTCCTTGCCCTGTGGGGTAAAAGAACTAGATGTTATGTCCAACACGCCACCTCCCCGCCCCCCTAAGCCAAGCCATCTCTCTGAACGGCGCCACGAGGAGCAGCTCCTGTGCGGTGGGCGCAGTAGCATCAAGAAGCCAGAAGGCACTGTGGTACCGAGAAGAATCTCTCTCTCTGGTTTAGATAACATGAGAACCTGGAAAGGTAAGTGCCAGATGCTAAACTTTGGTACCGAGAGAAGCCTGGCTTCTCTTTCCCCCTTGTGTCCACATGAGGACGTTGTCCAGCGTCCTTTGCTCAGGCCAGTCCAGTGTTCCGGCAGGGTCAGGCTCTGGGTGGAAGCGCACACCCCGAGCAGCAGCCCTCACTCCCAGGCTCCCCACCCGCCCCACCGGCAGAGGTATATGTGGGTGGGTCCCTGTAGATGCTGAAAGAAGTCAGATCCCTGGTCCCCTAGTCATGCCCTTGCCCACACGAGACCACGCTTCTGGTGTTTGTTTGGAGCCACTCTGGGATCCACTTGGTACAGAAGGCGGTGTCTTTTGCCTCAGTTGGGCCCAGTTCCATCCGTTTCCTTTCACATGCAGACTGAGTGCTGAGGTGGGAGACCATACCTCTTGTCTCTATTTTTCAACAATCCAATCAAACTCATCCATCATCCCACCTGACATTTTCTTTCCAAATTCTACCTGGCTGAAGTGATGTGGCTTTTTGCCAAGCTATCACCATCAAGGTAATGCTAACCTAGCCCTATCAGCTTGGTCCCTGTTTGGCCTTTTTCTGGAACTCTGTTGATTCTCACAGGGTTGCCTTGCATGCGCACTCTCTCTCTCTCCCTCTCTCCCCTCTCCTCTCCTCTGTCTCCATCCAAACGTTGGATTCTTTTACACGAAGGTAAACAAAGGCTAAAACTCATTGAAATGGAGGTTTTGACCTTGAAACAAAGACCAGAACAACAGTGCTGGATGGAAGCCAAATGGCTCTGATAAGGCAGAGGGGGCGCGTCCCATGGATTGTTGTGCCTTCCACATGGAGCTCCCCCGGGAACCGATGTCTGTACGTGGCGGCAGAGTGGGGTCAGGTTCGTTATCATCCTCGTGGGGCTCCAGTGACCTGGCAGCCTTGATTGTCCCCGAGGCTCTCCAGCCCCCCTCTGCCATCGGTGAAGTGCCCGTGGCGGGGAGTCTGCATCTCAGCTCTGCTGTCTCCCATCGGGCCCCCTGCCCCAGCCTGCACCACTGCCACTCTCTTTTTTTGCGGGGGAGGGGCTACTACATTATTTTATTGGAAGGAATAGTAGAAATGAAAGAACTTAAGTGGGTGTTTTGGTACAACTTATGGAAAAGGTAAAGGTAACCACGACATTCATGCCCCGCCTTGGCGACCAGGGAAGTCACCTGCCAAGGCTGGCTTGTTGTCACCGTGTTCCAAGGTGTGCTTGTCAAAGAGACACAAGCTAGTGTTGTGGTCACCCAATTCGTTGATGGATCTCACCTCTTATTCAGGTGATGAGTATCAGTGAAATGACACAAGCGGGGGGTTGTGTTGTCAGTCGTCACTTTTTTCCAGGTGCAACACATTCTGTTGCATTCAGCTGCTTGCTCTCCGAGTCGTCATGGTTTAATTTCTTGATTTCATGACGATTTGGGGATTCAGCCACCTTGTTGGTTCTGCCCAAACAGTGTCGAACAGGAAGAATTTCTGGAAACGATTAAACAATACAGAAATACATACTATCTCTTCTTTTTAAAGCATAAATGAAATCTGAATATATTTACTGTAATACAACTCGTTATCCTGAGATCACACCACCACCATTCTTGCCTGCCTCTAATCTGTTTTCCACATGCAGTCAAGTGGTCTCTTAAAAAATGTAAATCAGATAGTCAGTTCCTTGCTAAAAACCAATCTAGGGCTCCCCTGGTGGCGCAGTGGTTGAGAGTCCGCCTGCTGATGCAGGGCGCGCAGGTTCATGCCCCGGTCCGGGAGGATCCCGCCTCCGCAACGGGAGAGGCCACAACGGTGAGAGGCCCGTGTACCGCAAAAACAAAAACAAAAACAAAAACAAAAACAAAACAATCTAACGACTTCTCTTTGCACTTGGGATAAAATCTAAATTTCTTAGCATAGCGTGCAAGGCCCACTGGGATCTATCGTGCCTACATTCCTTATCCTTCTTTTATTTTTCTTCCGGTTTTATTGAGATGTAATTGACGTACAGCACTGTATGAGTTTAAGGAATACAGAATGATCTGACTTATATACATCATGAAATGATGACCACAGTAAGTTTTGTGAGCATCTGTCATCTCATGTAGATACAACATTAAACAAATAGAAAAAAAAATTTCCTTCTGATGAGAACTCTTAAGAGTTACTCTTTTACTTTTTTTTTTTTTGCGGTACGCGGGCCTCTCACTATTGTGGCCTCTCCCGTTGCGGAGCACAGGCTCCGGACGCGTAGGCTCAGTAGCTGTGGCTCACGGGCCCAGCCGCTCCGCGGCATGTGGGATCTTCCCGGACCAGGGCACAAACCCGTGTCCCCTGCATCGGCAAGCAGACTGTCAACCACTGCACCACCAGGGAAGCCCGGGAGTTACTGTTGTTAACAGCTTTCATATATGACATGCAGCACTGTTATTTATATTTATCTTGTCCTGCATTCCATCCCTAGTACTTATTTATCTTAGAACTGGAGGTTTGTACTTTTTGACCACCTTCAGACCTTCATCCAGTTCCCCCTCCCCCAATGCGATACTCTCAACTAGGAGTGAAAGCACAGAGTCCTAACCACTGAACCACCAGGGAATTCCCCTTCTTATTTTATTTCTGTCTGTAATTTATATGGTTTTTAGTGAAGTCTTGCATATCTCATTAATGTATTCCCATGCATTTGTTATTTTTACGTGATTGCCAATGGTATTTTACTTGAAATAATTTCTTTGCTGTTGCATACAAATAAATTAGCTTTATATTTTGATTTTGTATCTACCTTTTCTAAACTATATATTTGTTTGCATTTTCTTTGTATACAAACATATCACATGCAAATACTAATAACTTTGTTTTTTCTTTTATAACATATCTTTCATTTTCTTTTTCTTATGACAGTGCTTGGGCTAGGAAGGCCAGGACATCTTTGAATAGTAGTATTAATTACAGGGATCCTTGCCTTATTCCCGATCTCACATGGAAAGCTTCCAATGCTTCACCATTCTAATGTGGTTTGCAGCAGACTTTTATAGACACCATTCATTAGATTAAGGACATTCTCTGATATTCCTACTTTGCCAAATGTTATTTTCAAAAATCATGAAAGGGTATTGAATTTATTGAAACATTTTATGATCATGTGATTTTTTTCTCCTTTATCCTGCTAACGTGAAGAACTTCACTGGCCAATTATTTTTTGCAGTATAGTTGGTTTACAATATTATATTAGTTTCAGGTGTATAGCATAGTGATTCAGTATTTTTACAGATTATACTCCATTAAAAGTTATTGCAGGGAATTCCCTGGCAGCCCAGTGGTTAGGATTCAGCACGCTCACTGCCGGGGCCCGGGTTCAGTCCCCAGCTGGGTAACTGAGATCCTGCAATCTGCGCAGCATGGCCAAAAAAAAAAAAAGTTATTCCAAAGTAATGGCTGTAATTCCCTGTGCTGTACAATATGTCCTTGTTGCTTATCTATTTTATACATAGTAGTTTGTACCTCTTAGTCCCCTACCTTATCTTGCCCCTCCCCCTTTCCCTCTCCCCACTGGTAAACACTCTTATTCTCTATATCTGTGAGTCTGCCTCCATTTTGCTATAATACATTTATTTGTTTTATTTTTTAGATTCCACATACAAATGATATCATACAGTATTTGTCTTTCTCTGTCTGACTTACTTATTTCACTAAGCATAAGAGCCATCCACATTACTGCAAATGGTAGAATTTCATTCATTTTTATGGCTGAGTAATATTCCATTGTATACATGTACCACATCTTCTTTATCCATTCCTCTGTTGATGGACACTTAGGTTGTTTCCATGTCTTGGCTATTTTAAATACAGCTGCCATGAACATTGGGGTGTATGTGGTCTTTTCGAATTAGAGTTTTCATTTTTTCCTGATATTTGCCCAGCAGTGGGATTGCTGGATCATATGGTAGCTCTAGTTTTAGTTTCCTGAGGAAACTTCATGCTATTTTCCATAGTGACTACACCAATTTACATTTCTACCAACAGTGTACAAGGGTTCCCTTCTATCCACATCCTCACCAGCCTTTGTTATTTGTTACCTTTTTTTTTTTTTTTTTTTTTTGCTGTACGTGGGCCTCTCACTGTTGTGGCCTCTCCCATTGTGGGGCACAGGCTCCGGACGCGCAGGCTCAGCGGCCATGGCTCACGGGCACAGCCGCTCCGCGGCATGTGGGATCCTCCCAGACTGGGGCACGAACCCGTGTCCCCTGCATCGGCAGGCAGACTCCCAACCACTGCACCACCAGGGAAGCCCTTGTTGCCTTTTGATGATAGCCATTCTGACAGGTATGACGTGATACCTCATTGCGGTTTTGATTTGCATTTCTCTAATAATTAGAAATTTGGAGCATCTTTTCATGTGCCTGTTGGCTATCTGTATGTTTTCTTTGGAAAAATGTCTATTCACTTCTTCTGCCCATTTTTAAATCAGGTTGTTTGTTTTTTTGACATTGAGTTTTATGAGCTGTTTATGTATTTTGAATATTAAACCCTTGTTGGTCATATCATGTGCAAATATTTTCTCTCATTCTGCAGGTTGCTTTTTGTTTTGTTGGTGGTTTCCTTTGCTGTGCAAAAGCTTTTTAAGTTTAATTGGGTCCTGTTTGTTTATTTTGCTTTTATTTCTTTTCCTTAGAAGTTAGATCCAAAAAATATTGCTATGATTTATGGCAAAGAGTGTTCTATGTTCTCTTCTAGGAGTTTTATGGTTTCAGGTCTTGCAGTTAGGTCTTTAATCCATTTTGAGTTTATTTTTGTATATGGTGTGAGAAAATGTTCTAATCTCACTGTTTTACATGTAGCTGTCCAGCTTTCCCAGCACCACGTATTGAAGAGGCTGTCTTTTCTCCACTGTACATTCTTGCCTCCTTTGTTGTAGATTAATTGACCACAGGTGTGTGGGTTTATTTCTGGGCTCTCTATTCTGTTGCATTGATCTATGTGTCTGTTTTTGTGGC